CCGGCAGCGCCTGGCGCAGCGGGCGCCAGCTCCTTTCCCGCCCGGATCCCGATCTGGGAGGGAACGGATTCTTGCAGATTCGGTCCCCATATAGCCTTATCTTCACGCGTCTCCACCTTCCAATTAAGCTTCCTCTAAACCGCCGAAAGCCTTATTTGCATGCAAGGGACCGTTCAAAGATGCTAACGTATTGTCTCCTCTTAGAACTTAACATTTCTCTCTTCAGTTCCCCCTTGAAAGAAGTTTTAGAACAGTATTCAAGGACTGTCCGAACGAACAAAACCTCCCCTTTTGCCAGGGAGAGAAATCCGGTGTATTCAGTAAGAGTGCATATTCTCAGAAGTTCGCAGATTTTGTTTTTAAAGGCTGTATTGTTCGTGCCTTTCTTCCTGATTTTTTTTATTCATTAATTTTTACAAAGCACGGCTCACATGCCTGCAAAGGATTATTAAAATAAAACATCGTAGACCTTCTCCCCCCCTTCACTGTTTAGAATTACTTTTCTGGAAGAACTTTCCAAGCATAGCCCTCCCCAAGCCATAATTAAGAACACGATTTTTTTTGCTAGCAAACAGGAGAAGTAAAAATCAAATGCTTTCCCAAAAGCTCCCTTTCCTTCAAACACAGAGTTTTGCACTTCAGAAATATTTTCAGGTGGATTTGTGATAGATAAAACTATTTTGCATGCTGAATAGGTGGTGTTCATCTACAGAGGAACGACAAATTAAGGCAGTGAGACGTGTTTATACGGAGCGGACCTAGAAGCATCTCTGCATCTTAGACACATAACAAACGCAGCAGACTAGTTCTTCCCGAGTTTTCGAAAGCTGTTTAAAAGGCAAGAGGATCTGGTCCTTCAAACCCTCCTCCCCCCATTTTTTGTAATCATCTTAAAAGATGATGATCCAAAGAGCTGAGGGCGTTAAACTCCTTTGGGGAACGCGATAAAGTGCAAAGAGCCGGTGACAACCCATTCATGATTAACTCCTTTTCTTATAAAGGTGCATAATGGAAGCAAACCGGGGCCCGACGGGACGCGAACATATTTTATTCATTTAAGACAAAGCAGTTCTGCCGCCCCCCCCCCGCCCGAAATAAAAGAAAAAGCAAACAGAAAGAAAAGGCCAGTTCAGAGCATAACTCGAGGGCTAGCGGGAGAGGAAAAAACTTATGGGGTGCGAAGTGCCTGTGCCGTGCTCTCTCCTTC